GGGCTGTATCTTAACAAGGGATGCTTCAATGAAGTTTCTTCATATGAAAGATCCTATCTTTTTTTCGATGAGCAATCACCTCCTTAAATGTTTTACACTCATTCAGTTACACCCTGTATATTTTAATGTGAATATAAGAATACTTGAATTTATTTATGAAACTACCTACTTAAGAATATCAAATTATTCATAAATGCTTGAAAAATATGATTAGTAGAAGTAGGAATTCATAGAACCAAAAAATTTGGATGGGCTAGTGAGAACCACAAGTGATCACGAATATCAGTCAATAGCATTTTCGAAGATATTACCCATCAACGGTGAAAAATGTCAAGAATTGACCGTTGCTCATCCTATAGAGAGTCCATTAATCCAGTATTATGTTGAAATGTCAAAAATAAAATGCTACCTCTTATTTCACCATACACCTCATTCAAACTGACAAATACTGAAAGCTGGAGAGTGGGTGTTAAAAGACGGATTTTCGCCAAACGGACAAAATCACAACAAAATAATAACTGTGTCGATTTCGACACAAATGATTTCAGTTGTCAAAATGAGAAACATTTCCAAATCTTTGTGTCGCAGGCGACTGTTTTTGTAAACAATGAAATATCCCATCCACCGGCAGAAAGATGAAAAGGTTTCGGTGTTTTGTCTGTGTTCTTGTAAACAGCGTTTGCAATTTGGAAAAGGTCGGCGACAACAACCAGCAACCATTCAGTTCAATATTTTGTTTTGGTATGTAACTTCATTTGACATTATTACTTTATTGAGAATGTTAATCCGTGGTGGGTATACATTTCAGTGATCTTAGTTCTCCACTCACTCCTAGGTCATCATTGATCAAATCTGCCATACTTTTATCCTCTTCATAAAATCTATTCGTCTTCTTAACAATGTTTTTTTGGCTTTCGCTCCTTTTGCTCAAAAGATTGTATTATAAAAAAACCGCAAGCCATTATAGAAATATCGTCTAGAGAAGGCATGATGGAAATTGTTCATATAGTGGTAACGGCAGAAAATATTTCACAGCAAAACACGCAACCCAGAATAATTTTTGTCTGTTTGGTGGAATTCGAGTTTGTTTTCGAACTGTTTTTGAATAAGCAACTAGTCGCGAGCGAGTCCGTTTGGCGGAAATCCGCCTTAAGACTGAACTTAACAAGACCGAGAATGAATTGAATTAAAAAAAAAGGTTTATTGTCACATCTGACCCCCATTGAAAGGTCCAAGACGGTCGTTTTTCGAAACGGTGTTCGAGGACACAATGCTTCTCGAAGTAGATAAAAAAGGGCATCTTCGAAAGAGCTGGATGTAACCAATAAATCGTCCAGGTATACATGAACTAAAGACTTGAAAAATGGGCCCAAAACCTCAACCGTACACCTTGTAAAACTGGCTTCAGCTGTTTTCAAACCATAAGGCAAAACTTTGAAAATATAGCTTTTCGTGCCGAAACGAAAACCCGTATACGCGTATACCCGTATATACGCGCAGGTTAAATCTATACTAGACAAAAATTGGACGTTATTGATGTTTTTCATAATGTCTTCGATTTTCCGAGGCATCTCTAAGTCGTTTTCCATCACACTGTTCAAGTGACGCGCATCTAAACACAAACGCACCGTCTTTTTTGACAGTCGTCATCAACGGGTTCGCGTAGAAGATAGAGAGAGCACCTCTCAATTATACCCACTCCACAATTTCATCTATTTCCGCTTGTACGGCCGCTATGTGAGCGATTGGGATACGGTACGGCTTGATATCAAAAGGCTTAGGGTTAGTTAAATTTATTGTATGCTGGAAATCACACGTCAGTCCAGGTTTGTCCGAAAACAGCTGTTCATGGTTTTTTCAAAATAGCTTTGAAAATAACAGCCTGATCGGAAGATAATTCGTTTTTTTCTAACAGGGACTCAATATCCAGAGAACACTCTCTATTCAATATTCGTAAATCAGGTTGCGACGAATTGACTGCGCAAATTCTAATAGGGCTCAAAGTTTCTGTAGCGTATTCGTGACTTAATGTCAGCTCGCCAACTTCAAAAACTGAATCATTTAATCACAAAACAATTTTCTCGCATTCTAAATCAATTTTTGCATGGCAAATTCTCAACAAATCGATTCCAATAATAACCGGATAAATAAGTTCCTAAATCACTAAAAACTCAAATTGATAAT